TTTTATATTAGATGTATTCTAATTAAATTAAATTTATTAATCTATTGAATCATTTTTTCCTCTAAAATCACACTCATTTATGTTAAAGATGATCGCAGTAGAATTGTCTGTTTAGTATTGTTAAATTGGACCTAATGTGAACAGTGTGTACTCTTTATTATTCAACTAATCCTGTGAATTCTTTTAAGCTTCCTTTGTTGGAACTTGGCATAAACAGACTTAGACTGAGCTCTATAAACCACTTCGTCCTTGGGGTTTTTTTTCTTTTTTTTGGCTTTTTGGGTCACACACTGCATTGTCCAGGGGTTACCTCGGACTCTGCACTCAGGAATCACTCCTGGTGGTGCTTAGCGAACCATATGGGATGCTGGGGATTGAACCTGGGTTGGCCATATGCAAAGCAAGTGCCCCACTGACTATATTTTCACTCCAGACCCCACATTTGAAGCTTGGTAGCCAGGTTGTGATTTCATCATAAATGTTACCAGACCTGCTCAGATGTTCACTGATCCAAGGCTGATTACTCAAGAGACAAAGGTTGACATGCAAAGAAGCAAATTATTTAGACTCCAGTAACTTGAGAGTTTCTGATCTTGTCTCCTACTCCCCGAAAAACAAACAAAAACCTTACTCTGGGGTTTCATTGGTGATAGTTGGGAAAGTTAAAATAGTTCAGGGGGAGAAAGGAATTCTGTCTTAGGCTGACTTGCGTCAGTAGTTTAGTGTATCAATCTGGGGAGCTGATGCTCTGTTCCTGGTAAAACTTTGAAATGATGTATTTAAAGGACCTGTGTCTTCGGGATCTACGTGATAGCTTCAGGGATCTTAAGGGCCTGGTGTTTACCCTTCCCCCTCCATCCGTAACTGGGTGTGGTTTAACATTAAATGTACGACGCATGACATCATCTTTTGGGATTGGAAGACAGGACAGAGGCCAAATTATAAGAAGTATAAAGATGAGAAACAAGATGGAGTCTCTGATACTTGCTTTCATAAAATCAGACTTAGGCTACAATACCTATAATAGGAGTTTTCCAGAATTTTCAAAATTTCCAAAATTTTGGATTTTTGAAATTTGGAAGATTTTGAAAATAAATGAGATTCCTGACCATGCCAACAAGTGACCTCCTTACCTCGCTGGTAAGGTTGTTGGGAATTTAATAACCCAGGCACCAGGCACCAGTCTCTTTTTCAAGGCTGATTTGGCTCCATAAAATTTACTATAGTTCATTCAGACTGTTTAGTTATTCAGAAATATGACATTTTGGTCAATGCCTTTTTAATAACACCGTATTTCCAGTTGTACCTTTTGTAATTTTTTTTAAGAGTCTTGTTGTACTTACGTAAACAACTGTATTGCCATGTGGGGTGCCATTAAGAATTGCCATGCTCAGGGTCCCAAGTGATAGTGCAGTGGGTAGGATTGCTTGTGACCAACCTGGATTCCATCCCCAGTACCTTGTATAAGAATGATCCCTGTGCACAGAGCCAGGAGTAAACCCGGAGCAACACCAAAAACCGAAAAAAGGGGGAAAAAAAAGAGTCATGTTTAGAATGTTAAGTTTTTGTTTTTAATTCGAGAGGAATCAGTTGAGAAGAAAAAATAATTGTAATATGTGTCATTTTTCATAGCGTTTTGTTTTATCAAATTGTGCGTAGTACATTAAAATATTTCCTTACATCTGAAAAAGGAAGGATTTAACAGTTACTGCAAACTGTAATTAATCAGTTTAAGTCTCATGCAGTTTTTTTTGCCTCAATCCTGTTGCCCCTCCATTATTTCTATAACATTTTTTTATCTAATTCAGTTTTATAAATTGGAAATTATTAGAGTTCTTGTCATTTTTATGAATCTGAGGATGAAGACCTTTTTTTTTAGAAAGAATCTAAAATAATATAGCAGCTTCTATAAATAACAAATCTTTATAATAGTCAGGAGAAAGATTTGATTTAGTTTAATTAATGTGACTGACAAGAAATTTGGTTTTAGCATTGCGTGATAATCATCAATAGAATATAATGACAAAGATTTTTAGACGCTTCACTTCTGGAACATTACATTGATAACACAGATTCAATTACACATAAATCACTTGATCACTTGACATCTCGTTACTCATCAATTTGCTCTGGCAGGCGCCAGCAACGTCTCTATTCGTCCCTGTTGAGTGCTAGTATAGCCCAATGGCATCTGCTCGCTCCAGGAACACAAAGAGCCTCAAACCAATTGTTCAGAGTCTTGATGAAGAAGTCTGACTATCTTGTAGGTCGGTGGCCACACAATCTTTTGACATCCCATGGAATCCAGTCAGTAATGGCTCTAGTCCAAAGGTCATCTCCAAATCTCATTAAGTGTCCGGATTTTCGATGCCTTGGCAAAGGAGACACTGTTTCTGATTCTTGAATGTTGATGGAGGTCGGGATTCCAGATTCTTTCTTTCACTTGAGTGAAGCGTGATACTCCAATAATAGCTCTTTCGATTCCTTTTTGGGAGACCCAATAGCAAATAGCATTTTCATCCTGTTTTCGTAGGGCCCAGGTCTCTGAGGCGTATGTTAATGCAGGAAGAACAGTGGAATTGAAGAGATTCTGGAACTTGAGGGTCTTTGTCCTCTTAGCTATTCCTTCGATGCTCTTGAAAGCATTCCAAGCCACTCTCTTTCTCTTCTGTAACTCAGGTGCCAGGTCATTCGTCATGGGATTTTGTCATGTGCTGTTCTAAGGATCTTTCTGGAAAGGATGGCAGCTAAGTCAAAAGGACTTTAATTTGTGGAAGATGTGTCAAAAGCATTAAAATATTTTAACACCCACAAATAATTATGAAATGCAACTTAATTGTCTAACCCAAATGCTAAAGATTTCAAAGATTTAGATAGAAGCATACATAGTTACAAACCAAGCTTATCTCTTGTAGGGCCAGGGAAAGAGCTCAGAGAATGTGGGCACCTGCTGGAGGTCCACGTGTGATCTCCAACACCACGTGATCCTGTAAGCTCTGCTCACAGTGACCTTGGATCACTGACTTCATTATACAGGACAGATTCCTGAACACCACCAGATGTAGCCTTAAACTCCTCCCTACTAAAATTACATAGAGTTGAAAATTGATAATTTCACGTGACTCAGTATTAAAAAAAGAAGTTTCCTTCTTGGTCTCCACATCTCTTAAAACCAGCAGCAGTAGGGACCAGAACTGTAATACAGTGAGTGGGGTGCTGACCTGGCATGCAGCTGACCTGAGTGCCCTCCCTGAAACCACATACAGTCCCCTGAGCCCACCAGGAGCGATCCCTACGTCCTGAGCCAGGAGTTAGCCCTGAGCGCTTCCAGGTGTGATTTCCAAACCAAAGTTAAAAATGCTGCAAATAACGGCAACAGACGACCTCTCTCTATGCCCGGTAGACCAATTTCTTAATAACTTGATGATGATAAATATGAAGCAAGTAGATGATTTTCAAGTAGATGATTCAAAAGAAGAGAAAAGGAAAAACATCTTTGACATGTCTTTTTTCCAGAGCAGACTAATCATTGTTCACAAATGTACTCTTTTACTAAATTAAGGAAAATCAACATCTGGTTTACATAAAATACATTATTAAAATTCAGGCTTTTCTTCCTTTTTAAAATAGATCTCATATCTAGTGGAGCTTCCTGGGGCCAGGCGTGGCCTGGGTCAGGGAGGCCATGGTGAGAACAGGCCTCACAATTGGGACATTTGTCTGGGCCAAGTGTCAGTTTCTACTTGAGCTGTTTTCCCAGCTCTTAAGTTTGTATTTCACAGCCTTTAAGAACCGTTCAATTTTATCCACTCTGATCACATATTCCCTTACTATTTTTTTTTCCATTTAAAACTTCTTAGTTTCTCCTTTATTATTATTTTATTTATTTTGTTTTGGATCCGGCAGTGCTCAGGGGCTGCTCCTGCCTCTGCACTCAGTAATCACCCCTGGCGGTGCTCAGGTGGCCATATGGGATGCCGGGAATCAAACCTGTGCTGGCCCTGTGCCAGTCAAGCTTTCTATAAGTTCTATGGCTTAGGTTCCGCATCCGTATTCTTTTACAAATTGCTTAATATTCACTTAGTTACTGTATTTTCCTTTAACAAAAATACACCTTTATTCCATATCTTTCTGGTAGTTTCGTTCTCTATTTTAGATAGAAGCATACATAGTTACAAACCAAGTCGTTATTCCCATGACGAATGACCTGGCACCTGAGTTACAGAGGAGAAGAACATCCCACCACCATATTTGGGATGTTCTCATCTCAAACCCCAACTCTTGCCCCAAAGCAAAACCGAAATAACTCATTCTGTATTGTTACGAATAAACAGCCGAAAGTGATCCAAGAGAGTTTCCTTAGAGGAAAGTTTAAATCTGTAAAAACATGTTTTCTTTTAAGATGGGTTGTCTTCTACTTGAAACCCCACCAAAAATGGTGTGCTGCTCTTGAAATATTAGCGGTGTGAGGTATGACTTGTTGTGCAGCCACATTTGCGGCCTAGTGCTCCAGGAGAAAGTTCACTTGTGGGTGAGGATCGGCCAAATTCTTATCCTGAAAAAAAAATCAATAATTTTCAAAATTGTAAATGCCGTCTAAGATTTGAGTGTACATCTGCTCTTGTCAAGTTTGTTTTAGAATGAAATCACATGAACTTTTCTAGCTGCTAACGTTGCTAACGTTGTTAGTCTCCGGAGTGATAGCACAGCGGTAGGGCGTTTGCCTTACAAGCGGCCAACAAGGCTGACCCGAGTTCGATTCCTCCGCCCCTCTCAGAGAGCCCGGCAAGCTACCGAGAGCCCGCACGGCAGAGCCTGGCAAGCTACCAGTGATGTATTCGATATTCCAAACAAAGTAGCAACAAGTCTTATGATGGAGACATTACTGGGCCTGCTCGAGCAAATCGATGAACAACAGGAGGACTGTGACCGTGACCGGTAACATTGCTAATGCCTTAGAGCAGTATTGTCTGACTTTGTCTCTTTTCTTTGTTCTCCAGTTTGATAAAGGCTATGCTTACAATATCCGCCATAGCTTCGGAAAGGAAGGCAAGAGGACGGACTATACACCTTTCAGCTGCCTGAAGATCATTCTAACCAATCCACCAGGCCAAGGGGATTATCATGGTAAGTGTTTCCAGTGGCTGTGTTTGCAACGCACAGAAACCCAAGAGCTCTGTAACAAACCCCAGAGCACTGTAATGACTTTTTGCATGACTGACAGGAACTAGTTTGTGGCTTATGTCAATCATCAGTGTCAAGCTGGCGCTCCATTACTCTTCCAGTGATTTGTCTTATTATTGAACTAGGTCAGGCGAAAGAAATGCATTCAGCAGCACTTCAGCTTGTGTTGGGCCACGTGGTTTTGTTCTCAGTTTTCTTTGATTTTAGAGGGGGTGAGGATGGGAAGTGGGAATCCTCACAGTGCCCAGGGATGCCAGTGTTGCTTGGCGCATCAAGGCCACTGGGTGGCGCTGTCACGGTGCTGGGTGGTGATATCAGGGTTCCAGCTTGGGATCAAGCCAGGTATCTGCACCAGCCCTCTGAGCTCTCTTCCTGGCTTCCTTAGTTCTCAGTTTGCTCCTTACCTGCTCCGTAAGGAGTCTGCTTTTCTCATGTTCACAAGTATCTTCAGAACAGAGGCAGGTTTTCCAACCCCCTTTAGAAGGGATATTAAACTGATAAGAACAGATACTGCACTTGATCTTAGCCAGATGGCTGGAGCGATACCACAGCGGGTAGGGCATTTGCCTTGCACGCAGCTGACCCGGGCGACACGGGTTCGATTCCTCCACCCCGCTCAGAGAGCCCGGCCAGCTACTGAGAGTATCCCGCCCCACGGTAGATCCTGGCAAGCTACGCATCGTGTATTTGATATGCCAAAAACGGTAACAGCAAGTCTCACAATGGAGATGTTACTGGGCCCGCTCGAGCAAATCGATGAACAACGGGAGGACAGTGCTACAGGACTTTAAAAGGGATAACCTCCGAATTTAGACTTGACTTATTAATTTTCAAAAGGTTACTGAGGAAAAGTGTGCTTCATTCTCATTACTGTCATTTGGTTTAATAGCCCAGATTATGAAATTTTCTGCATTCCCAAAGTTTCCTTCAACATGTGTCCAAACATTTTATAATTTTAGTAAGTTAAATGAAACTTCATTTGGGAAGGAGGGGAGGTTGGTCCTATCTGAAAGTGCTCAGGGCCAGTCAGCCAGTACGTGGCTCGGTGCGTAGGGTGCTTGCTCCTGGTGGTGCTCTGGAGACTGTGTGAGCCTGGGGCTGGAGCCTGGGCGTCCTGCCTGGAAATCATGTGCTCCAGCCTTCATCTGTCTCCCCGACTTAGCAGGTAGATGAAGGACTGGAGCACATGCCTTACAGAAAACCCCAGACAAACTTGTCTTTTCATTTTGCTTGTTTGGTTTGTCTGTTTCTTGGTTTTAGTGTCACCCCTGGCAGTCAGGGAGAGAGCTCAGCACAATCACAGGCACCTTATGGCTTCCCAAGCAATATTAGGAATGGTTCCTGAGCACTGTACAGGGAGTAACCTGAGGACTGCCAGGGAAAGAGCTCAAATATACATAAAAACTGATTTATTACACATATATGTATTATGCATACATATACATGTATGTATATAGTTATGTATGTATATATAGTTATATATGCTTATGTATATGTGTGTGTACACACACACATACACACACACACACACTTATGTAGCCAGTACACATAACACATGTTAGTTCTCATTTGTGTCACTCACTTAAGGTGCTTTTAGAAATGCAGGGTCTCAGACTCCATTCCCTCAGACATATAAAATTGGTTGTGTTGCCAGGTTATCTGAATAATGATAGATCTCCTGAACTTTGAAAACCAGTGACCAGAACTTCTGTTGACACATTCTTTAGCTTTTTTGAAGCCGCCTTGCCAGGCACTTAACTTCTGTAGGAGCAGAGAGACTTTTCCCTTACCCAGCATGAGAAGAACCTTTGGGTCTAGCAGTGCAACTAATTATCATATTTGAACATAAACAATTTTATTTTATTTTATTTTTCGCACATATATGGCTAATTTCAATGGATGTAGAGTCTTATGGGAGGGTTGGGGGTCTGCAAACCGAGGGGATATATCCCAGCCAAGAATGAATTAGGGCCCTGGCGCTTCCTGTAGAGATGAGAGGGTTTCCCTCCCCATAAAGAGAAGGAAGCTTGAAGTCTAGTTGCTCAGTAATAAGATGTTTGTCCTCCCGTAGAGATTTCTGTGATAGGAAGCTTTTTTCTGATTTAAAAAAAAAATCCTAATTCTGGGTAAAACCTCCCTAATTTTCAGGAGTTAAAGTAGTGACAAGTGTTTTGTGACCCTGCCTGGTGGTTGACCTCAGCTTGAAGTAATTCACATTTCTTCAAGTAATGTGATATTTGGGGAGGGCAGTTCTGGACATTTTGAGGAAATGTACCCTTCAGTTTCATTGAGATTGACCCAGTAAAACTCAGAGGATTTTCCTGTCAAGTTTCATGTCCCAGAATTCATCATTTGCGTAGTATTTTTGTTTGTTCTGTTTTGGTTTGAATTCACGCCTGGTGGTCCTCAGACTCTAGCTTGTTGCTCTGGGGTCACTCCTGATGGTACTTGGGAGACCACGTGTGTGGTGCTGGGATTGAAAATCAGCAAGCATATCACACACTCCAGCCCATTGCACTCTCTCCAGCCCCGTTTAGGTGTTTTTTTATTCGCTGAGATAATGATGCAGTGTTTTTATTTCTTGGGTTTTTTTTTTTTTGGTTGGTTTGTCTTTTAGTTTTACTCCTGACTCTGCACTCAGACATCCTGTGTGCTGTAGGGGAATAAAACCAAGTCCGCCTTTTGCAAGGCAGGTGCCCCATCTACTCTTATATTCAGCCCCTATTTCTGTTTCTTATTCATATATGTAAAGTCCTGTCTTAGAGCTTCCGTTTTGTTGCTTTTAAGTTGTGATTGTTTTTGATTTAAACGATCGGTTAAAAAATTACCCAGTCAGATCTGTGGGAAGAGCTGCAGCAGGCGCTCTTGGCTCTTGGCTGCAACCTGGAGGGATGCACTGCCCAGCCACCAGGAAGGCATCGGCTGCGTGGTCACCAATCGATTCGACCAGTTATTTGCCTACGAATCGGACCCCTTCGAGGTGTTGAAGGCAAGGGAGAACAAGAAACAAGAATCTGGCAGGGGCAGCGTTGGGGACCAGGGTCCGAGAGCGCCTCTTAGGCTGCTGCGCAGACCAACTCCAAGGCGGCAGACACGCGGCCGCAGAAGGAGTCGGAGAAAGACCACAAGATCCTGCTGCCCCCCGACGTGGTGGGTGAGAAAGAGAGATGCAGCCCCCGTGGCGCTCACGAAAGAAGGAATAAGACGTGTTGGAAGAAGACCTGACCAACAACTTCAAGGTGAAGGGAAAATAATTGCTAGGAGACCAGAAAGGCGACCGCCTCCTGAACGACGATTTGAAAAACCACTGGAAGAAAAAGGTGAAGGCGGAGAATTTTCAGTTGATAGACAGATTATTGACCAGCCTGTCAGAGGCCGTGGTGGTCCTGGAAGAGTTCTGGGAGGCCGTGGACGTGGAATGGGACGAGGAGATGGATTTGATTCTCGTGGCAAGCGTGAATTTGATAGGCATAGTGGAAGTGATAGATCTTCTTTCTCACGTTACAGTGGCCTGAAACATGAGGACAAGCTGGTGGTAGTGGATCTCGCAACAGAGGGACTGTCAAAGGTGAATGAACTGACTTGGGTCAATCAAATGTGACTGAGGAAACATCTGAAGGTGAAGAACAGCCAGTGGCAGACACTGAAAATAAGGAGAACGAAGTTGAAGAAGGAAGAGGATCCCAAAGAGATGATTTTGGATGAATGGAAGGCAATTCAGAATATGGACCGTGCAAAAGTAGAATTTAATATTCCAAAACCAAATGAAGGTGCTGATGGGCAGTGGAAGAAGGGATTTGTTCTTCGTAAGTCAAAGAGTGAAGGGGCTCATGCTGACGATTCAGTTATGGACCATCATTTCCGGAAGCCAGCTAATGATATAACATGTAGCTGGAGATCAATTTTGGAGACCTTGGCTGCCCAGGACGTGGTGGCAGGGGAGGAAGAGGATGCCATGGTCGTGGTGGGGGTCCGAGTCGTGTTAGCAGAACTGACAAATCGAATACTTTGTAGATACCCCAGAGGCATTCCTAGCTCTGGCCTAACTGGATTGCCACAAAGACAACCCTGGTTCCTTGGTGGACCCTCCTGTCTGAGGTTTTGCATGCTTAAGGATCCCAAACGGCTAAGAAATTTTAAAAAAAAAGACTGTCATTCATTCCATTCACACCTAAAGACTGAATTTTATCTGTTTTGAAAATGAACTTCTCTCGCTACCCAGAAGTAACAATATGGTAGTCAGTTTTGTATCTAGAAATGTATTGGTAGCAGGGATGTTTTCATAATTGTCAGAGATTATGCATTCTTCATGAATACTTTTGAATTGCTGCTTGCAAATATGCATTTCCAAACTTGAAATATAGATGTACCAGTTAAAAAATTACCCAATCAAACATACAGTAGCACTGTGGCACTGTCCTCCTGTTGTTCATCAATTTGCTCGAGTGGGCACCAGTAACGTCTTACAACATATTGTGTGACTTGTTGTTACTGTTTTTTATTTTTTTTTGGCATATCGACCAGAGCTTGCCAGGCATGCAGGCAAGATACTCTCTGTAGCTTCCCAAGCTCTCCAAGGGGGCCTGAGAAATCAAACCCGGGTCAGCCATATACAAGGCAAATGCCTTACCCGCAACGCTATTGCTCCAGCCCCAAACATACAGTGATATCATGTTATTTATTAGTTATATACTTTTTTATGGAATTGCTTTAGGTTCATAGCAAAATTCAATTGCAGTTTAATTTTGAAAGTACAGCATTCCTGACTCTCCATTCACTCTCAAAGGAACGCCCATCTCCGAATGCAACAGTTATGTGTACCTAGGTCGAGAAGTCAACATGACAAATGACATGGCACCTGAGTTGCGCAGGAGGAAGAGAGCGGCTTGGAACACCTTCAAGAGCGTCGAAGAAATAGCAAAGAGGACGAAGAACCTCCAGCTCCTTGCACACCTCTTCGATTCCACTGTTCTTCCTGCATTAACATATGCCTCAGAGATCTGGGCCCTACAAAAACAGGATGAGAACGCTATTCGGGTCTCCCAAAGAGAAATCGAAAGAGCTAATCTTGGAGTATCACTCTTCACTCAAGTGAGAGAAAGAATCTGGAGTTCAAATCTACGTTGACGGTCAAGAATCAGGGACGCTGTCTCGTTTGCCAAGGCATCGAAAATGAGATGGGCTGGATACGTAATGAGATTTGGAGATGACTGCTGGACTAGAGAGCTGTTACCGACTGGATTCCATGGGATGTCAAAAGACCGCATGGCTGCCCACCTACGAGATGGTCAGACATCTTCGTCAAGACCCTTAACGATCGGTTTGAGGCTCTTTGTGTTCCTAGAATGAACAGACGCCATTGGGCCACACTAGCACATGACAGGGACAAATGGAGACGTTACTGGCGTCCACTCGAGCAAATCAATGATTTTTTAAGGGGAAGTCAAGTGATCAAGAGATCAAGAGTTCCCATAGAGTCACTGCCCCCATACCTGCACAATCCCTCCCCCTTTATCAGTGACCCAAGTTGTTGCATGTGAGCAGATTGTTGAAGTATATAATCTTCTGGAGGCATTTATACCTATCAATTATATCCACTTGATTGATGCTGCTGTTCAAATATTTTATTGTTGATTTTTGCCTCCTGGATTTGTTCCTTCTGTTAGAGGACTGTTGGAGTTTCTGTCTATAATATTGGATTCGTCTCTTTCTCCTGGAAATTTTGTTGGTTTTTTTTTCTTCATATATTTTCATGTTCTGTTGCTAGGTACATATACATTAAGGGCTGTTACTCTCTCCTTGGACAATTTTTCACTTTATTTTTGTGTAATGCCCATTTTTAACTCTGATAAAATTCCTTGCTCTGAAGCTTGAGCTATTTGAACTAGTTTAAGTACCTACTCCCACAGATCTTTGATATTCTGTTCCTGTTTTATTTTTCTTTTTGTTTTTCTGTTTTGGAAGTTTCTATTGACATATCAAACTCAGATTCTTCCTCAGCCCTGTCTACGCAAAAGCCCATCAAAGGCATTCTTTTATGTTACAATGTTTTGATCACAAACAATTTTTTCATACTTATTAGAATTTTGTCTCTGTGCCTGCTTTGTCCATTAGCGCATATTAGTCATATTACTTTACATTTCTGGCGTGGTCATTTCAAGATCACTTTTTATATGCCACTCTAGTTATGATCCTTGTTCAGTCTCTTCAAAATGTATTTCCTGCCTTTTCATCTGGGTGATTTTCTCTTAATAAATAGGCATGACCCATCGGGTAAAAATACTCCAGAAAATAAACAGCAAAATGGGGATAAAGTTTTGGGAATAGGTGGGTGCTGTGATTGGGTTCTCTCTTTTGAGAGCCTGTGGACCTGAACTTTGAACTTCCATAGTGTCTGAATTCGTCCTCTCGTAGTTGGAACAGGATGAATAGAGACAACAGAAATTGGGTATTTCCCCATCTGGACTGGACTGCGAAAAAATAACTCCGCTTGAAGACAGGCTCGCTTGCTTTATTTATTTATTTATTTATTCTTAAATTTTTACTAGTGAAACACCATGAGGTACAGTTGCAGACTTACAAATTTTTGTGCTTGGGTTTCAGTTATACAGTGATCGAGTACCCATCCCTCCACCAGTGCCCGTTTCCCACCACCACGGATCCCAGTATCCCTCCCACCCCCCAACCCCCATCCCATCCTGCCTCTGTGGCAGGGCATTCCCCTTTGTTCTCTCTCTCCTTTTGGGTGCTGTGGTTTGCAAGAGAGGCGTTGAGCGGCAATCATGTTTGGTCTATAGTCTACTTTCAGCATGCTTCTCCCATCCTGGGAGGATCCTCCAAACGCCAATAGGCTTTATTTAAAGGAACACAGAGCAGCTAGAGATTGGCGCAAGTGCATGAAGGCCCTTGGCTTTGCACATAGAAGTTTTGCCCGCCGCACAGCATATGAACCTCAAGCACAGAACAAGGAGTAATACCTGAAAACCACTGGGTGTGACCCCATCCAACCTCCCCCACATTTACCCCAATAAATAAATAATAAATATAGCAAGTAGTTCCAGAGTATTTAAAAAAATGTTCCTTTAGAGGTTAAGTTTATGAAGTGTAGAACCTTCTATGGGAGATTCTTGGAGTTTGTACCTCAGACTTGTCCCTGCAGACAGGCTAACCATTGCCAGTTACAGGTTGGTTGGCCCTGCCCACCACTGTCCCCTGCCTAGATTCCTGCTCTGGTCAATTGTGACTCTCTGTAGCAGCCTCTTTCTTCACTTTGGGGTTTTCCTGTGACTCTGATTCTTGGATGAGTATAAGAGGAGCTGCCAATTGTTCAGTCTATTTAATTTAATTTTTGCTTATAAAGATGGAACAGCACCTTGTAACTCCTATGTCTGAACTGGAAACCAGAAATCTCTGTCCTATCGTTTTGTATTTACGATGTTTAGTCGTACAATGTTTTAACACCAATCCCATCACCAGTGTCAACTTCCCTCCACTAGTCCCCAGCTTCCCTAAACCTCACTCTCATCGCTCTCCACTCTTTACTTCCTTGATGGACACTGTTTTAGTTTGGTTTGGCTTGGTTTGTTTGGGAACCATACCCAGCAGTGCTCAAGAATTACTCCTGGTGGTCTCAGGCGCCATATTGGATGCCAAATATCCAACCCGGGTTGGCTACATGCAAAGCCAGCGCCCAACTCACGATACTGTCTCTCTCCCTGACTCTTTTTCTTTTCTTCCCTAACCTTCTCAGTCCTGTCTTCCTTCTTATAGACCTCTCGTGTAATTTTTTAAATGTGGAGAAATTCTGAGATTGCATAAAGATTTCAGATAAGCTGTTTTATAGCTACCTTGTGATTATCTCTACTTGGTTAGCAAGTGGCATAATTAAAAGTGTTGCCTCTCGGTAGTGAACGGGGACCTTAGCCCGAGAATGCTGTTATGTTTTATGCAACTCTTGAGCCTGTAGTACCCTGATAACCGTACAGCTAAGTCGTCGTTTAGATAAAGAGAGGAAAGCAGTTGCACCCATGGGCAATTAACTTTTTTATTAATAAGCTGTTAGACAATTAGGGGGAGCTTAGACAGCCTCTGGAGTGTGGTATTATGCTAAGTCCTGGGTAAATAACCTTGTTGATGCGTTGGCTTGTTCTTTGTTGTCAGGGTGCCCATTCCGTCATAGTGATCCAGAACTACTGAAGCAGAAGCTGCAGTCATACAAGATCTCTCCCGGAGGGATCAGCCAGGTAGGTCAGATTCCGCACTGCACCTTCCGTAATGAGGCGTCAGACACTGCCTCTCAGTTTCATTTACTGTTCTTGCAGTGATGCTGTGTACTACTTGTCAGGCCTCCTCCAGACAGCCTGTCTTCTGGGCGAACTAAGCACAAGTCTTGACTTCTCTGCGTTAGACTCTCTGGAAATGCTAGTTCTTCAGTTGGCTCAGCTCACTCTCATTTTTCTGGGTAATAAAGGAAGCAGGAAACGCTTTTTCTCTCTCAATTTGTTTTACTATCTTAATTGAGGCCATTACAAAATAAATTTTAGAAAAATGTATTGAAGCTTATTAATGAAGCTGAAAATTAATAACATTATATTTCATCTTAGCAAATTGCTTTCCGTGCTTGCATGTCGGTTAGAGTAGCAGATAATATAGTGTGGACTGGCTGGATGTTGGGATATGCATCAGTTGTTGCTGTGTTACATCTATACTTCTAATGATAGTTCATTAGGTACAATAATTTCTCAAAATGCTTTGTCTTAGAAAAAATATCTTAAATGCCCGAATGTAAAACAAACATGTAAGAATTTATTTTTTAGTAAAGAGTCTTTGAAAATATTGTCATGTTGCAGAGATTACTCTCTCTTCATGCAGTTTCCCCGAAGTAGGCAGAAGTGGATCCCCAAACCCTTCTCCTCCATTCCCCACTCCTCCCTCAGCTCCCTCCCTCACCCAGGGCACCAGAGGAGTCCAGGGCAGTGTCAGAAGAAGCCTTAAGGGCAATTGGGGGATGCTTTCGGTTTTCATTTTTTTTTTAAAGAAAGTACTTTGGTGGGGGGCGGGCATTTTTTCTTTAATTTTTATTAGTGAAACACCATGAGGTACAGTTGTAGACTTACAAATTTTTGTGCTTGGGTTTTAGTTATACAGTGATCGAGTACCCATCCCTCCACCAGTGCTCATTCTCCACCACCACGGATCCCAGTATCCCTCCCACCCCCCATCACCCCCATCCCCCCCTGCCTCTGTGGCACGGCATTCCCTTTTGTTCTCTCTCTCCTTTTGAGTGCTGTGGTTTGCAAAAGAGACATTGAGTGGCAATCATGTTTGGTCTATAGTCTACTTCCAGCATGCATCTCCCATCCTGGGAGGATCCTCCCAACACCCTTTACTTGGTGCTCCCTTCTCTATCTGAGCTCCCTTTTCCCCTAGCATGTGCGGCTGGCCTCCAAGCCATGGAGTAAAATTCCTGGTACTTATCTCGGCTATTCTTGGGTGTTTGACTCCATCTGTTACTTTATATTCCCCAGATGAGTGCAGTCTTTCTATGCCTGTCCCGCTCTTTCTGACTCATTTCGCTTATCACGATACTTTCCATGTAGTACCACTTGTATGTAAATTTCATGACTTCATCTTTAACTGCTGCATAGTACTCCATTGTGTAGATGTACCAAAGTTTCTTTAACCAGTCATCTGTTCTTGGGCACTCAGGTTTTTTCCAGATTCTGGCTATTGTAAAGAGTGCTGCAATGAACAAACAAGTGCAGGTGTCACTTCGACTATACTTTTTTGCCTCTCCAGGATATATTCCCAGGAGTGATATTACTGGGTCAAATGGGAGCTCAATTTCTAATTTTTTGAGAAGCGTCCATCCTGTTTTCCAAAAGTGTGGAACCAGTCTGCATTCCCACCAGCAGTGTAGGAGGGTCCCTTTCTCCCCATATCCACACCAACACCAGTTGCTTTTGCTCTTTTGGATGTGGGCCAGTCTCTGTGATGTGAGATGGTGTCTCATAGTTGTTTTAATCTGCATCTCCCTGATGATTAGTAATGAAGAGCATTTTTTCATGTGCCTTTTTGCCATTCGTATTTCTTCCTTGAGAAAGTTTCTATTCATTTCATCACCCCATTTTCTGATGGGTCTGGATGTTTTCTTCTTGCAGAGTTCATCCAGTGCCTTTTATACCCTTGATATCAAACCCTTGTCCGATGGGTATTGGGTGAATATCCTTTTCCATTCTGTAGTTTGTCTTTGTATTTTGGTCACTGTATCTTTTGTGGTGCAGAAGCTTCTTAATTTAAGATAGTCCCATTTGTTAAAGGATGGAAAACAATCCTGCAAGCAAACAGCTCCCTCAAAAAAGTTGGGGTGGCCATACTAGTATCCAACAACATAGATTTCAGGTTGAAAAAGATTAGAAGGGACAGTGAGGGCCATTTTCTATTTATCAAGGAATATGTACAACAGGAAGAAATCACACTCTTAAATGTATACACACCTAATGAAGGACCAGCTAAATACTTAAAACAACTGCTAACAGATTTTAAGGAGGATATTGCTAGCAATACAATAGTAGTCGGAGACTTCAACACTGCCTTATCACCTCTGGATAGATCAACAAGAACAAAACTCAGTAAGGAAACATTGGCTTTGAAGGAAGAAATAGAATTGAGAGGGCTAGTAGACCTATACAGGGCTTTACACCCCCAAAAGAAAGAATACACATTCTTTTCCAGTGCACACAGAACATTTTCCAAAATAGAGCACTTCTTAAGTTTTGTTTCTGAAAAGGGATGTGAGAGGCCAAAGAAGAACATCTGATCTGTTTTTCGGGTTTTTTTTTTCTGTTGTTGTTGTTTGTTTTATTTAAGTTTTGGAGTCATACCTGGCAATGCTCAAGGATCACTCCTGGCTCTGCATTCAGGAAATTATTCATAGCTGTGTTCAGGCTACCAGATAGGCTGCCAGGGATTGAACTCAGATCACGCACATTAAAGGGTGTGTAACCTATCTCTCCAGCCCCTGTACTCTGCTTTTGATCTTGGAACTTTCAGGGGTTTAAGAGGAACTTCTGCTCTCTTAGTTTAAGAAGAACAATTTTTTTACAGCTGAACCATCTAAATCATTGTGTATCTTTGAGTATTTTTACTTGAAGAAACAAATATTCTAGAAAACTATTGTTTCTACTGTGTCCACAGTCTAAATCAAATTTAGTTCATACCTTTTTAATATTATGGACAAGGTAGTGTTCAAGGTGATTTTGGAGGAAACAAAGACCAAATACCATTCCTACACCGACAGAACGAGAGGCTAGGGAGAAATGCAGACCTAGTGTTATCAGAAAGGGAAACAGAAAGTATTTTGACTCTTGAAGATAGGAAAATAATAATCAGCTAAGGAAGCCAAGAAACACTTTCTGGAAGAGAGTCAGCTTTAAAGGGAGGATGGGAATTAGGATGTGATACTACGTGAATAAAAGGAGGGAACTGTATAGGATCTCATGTTTTACATAATGGTGGCACCGGAATTTAAACATTAATAGACAACTTAAAAGAAGAAGTTTGACACATTAGGTTTAAAGGTGAGACATTTTAATCACATTAAGAATGTGAACTTGCTTATATCACATTAGAGCAGAAAAACTACAAATAGTATGTTCTTGAATATGTAATTAAAAAGGAATATTACAGGGACTGGAGCGATAGCACAGCGGGTAGGGCATTTGCCTTGCACGCAGCCAACATGGCCTACCCGGGTTTGATTCCCAGCATCCCATATGGTCCCCAGAGCACCACCAGGAGCAATTCCTGAGTGCATGAGCCAGGAGTAACCCCTGAGCATCGCCAGGTGTGACCCAAAAAGCAAAAAAAGAAAGAGTATTACAAAGCCTTTCTTTTTATGGAGGTGTGAAATACGACATGCCCCGGTGCAACCAGAAACTGGAATTGGCTCTTCTGAATTCCCCCTTTCCCTCTCCCCTCCCAATAGCCAAACCCCACTTTAATGTGGGTGATCATTAGTTTTCTATGGGGGTATGAGACGGGGACTCAAAACTTAGCGTCTCTAAATGTTTGGGATGAATCTTCGGCTAGTGGTGCCTTTGTCGGAAAGAAGCATATTAAGGAAGTTACGTATCACAAAATTCAAGGAAGATTTTTTGAGAATTTTATAGAGTCCCTTGTATCAGATTTTGTCAGGTAACTGAGGAAAGGGGACTGGCTGTATGTCGAATGGGTTGTTCAACTTTGATTTGTTGAATGACGTTCAGATAGTGATAGAAACCCAAATAAGACCACACTTGACAGGTGAATGAATAAAGGACTGGGGGTTGAGTTTGCAGATGGTGAATATAAATGTCCTCGTGAAGGGGATGACAGAGTGGTGTCGCCTCAAGCAGCAGAGAATAGTTTGTGTCTGTTTTTAAGGTAGAGGAGACCTCGAATGCGTGTTTGTGGGAATAGGTGAGCCTATCTGAGAAGATGGGCCTGAGAAAGATATAAAGATAATACCTTTCTAAGCAAGCAAAATTGAGTTCCCTTTCTTTAAATATCCTTTGTATGTGGCTTTGTTCTTACCTATTATACTAAAACAGAGATTAGGGGCTGGAGTGATAGTACAGCGGGTAGGGTGTTGCATGCAGCCAACGCGGGTTGATTCCCAGCATCCCATATGGTCCCCAGAGCACCGCCAGGAGTAATTCCTGAGTGCAAAGCCAGAAGTAACCCCTATGCATCACCAGGTGTGACCCAAAAAGCCAAAAAAAAATTGCTTTCTTTAAAAATTCAGACTATTGGGAGGATTGGGGCGTGGGGGTTTATTGGGGTTCATCATGGTGAAAAATAAGTATTGGTAAAGGGAAATGTGTTTGATAATTGCATGACAGAGACTTAAACCTGAAAGCTTTGTAACTTTTCCCGTCATGATTCAATAAATAAATAAATTTTAAAAAACGCAGACTATTACCATATCTATTGAAATTACCATTTATATTATAGAGTAGGGGCTGTGTTTGTACACTCTGCATTCGATGTTGTCATATTGCTTCATTTACCTTTGATCTGTCAGTAGATTCTTAGGTGAATCTAATTACTGATTTTCACATCATCCTTTGAACCTGCATTGTAACCCTTTATAGAGGAATAGCAATGTGGGCAAACTGTAAGTAAAATTTTGCTTTCATTTGACGTCTTTATTGAATGGGTCTCCGTAGAGTGAAGCAGCTGGTGGATTGTATTCTAAGGAGAA